ACAGACTCCCCGCTGAGCAGGGAGCCCGATGCGGGGCTCAATCCCGGGACCCTGGGATCATGACCTGAGCTGAAGGCAGACTACTTAACGACTGAGCCATCCAGGTGTCCCTAGTTGTCCATCTTTCTTACTAAAATGAAAACCCGAGAGGGCAGAGTCCATGTCTGTCTTGTTTACTATGGAATCCCCAAGGCTTAGTATATAGCACAGCACCTCGTACAGGTGCAGTTAACTTTTATAGAATGAATAAGTGAATGAATGAATGAGTGAGTGAATGAATGAATGAATGATCGGACGAATGAAGGAGTTGACTTTTAGGATGTAAGCAGAACTGGAACCATCAGGAACTCAAGTGGCTTCAGGGCAGGCTCCTCTGTTTTACGATGTCTTTGTGTATCTCTCTTTTCTCTCTCTTCCTAACCAGTTCCTAGTTTCCCTCTAGTTTCTGCTAGTTCATAACAACTGACTACACGTGCCCACCATTGCCACAACTTCAGCTTCCACAGATCACAGGGTCCCCTCTTCATATTTCTTAGTTCAAGTTCCCCAGAAAAAGAATCTGATTACCCAGTTCATTTCTTCAAGCCAGGATATCACAGAGTTCACTGTCTGCTCTTTGGATTGGTGACCCGTAGATTCAGTGAGAAGCCGTGTGGGAGCAGGTCCTCAGAGTGTAGGTCACGAGTATAAAACATCCCAGCTGAGGCCGTGAGGGGGAGAGGGTTTCCTCCGGAAGGAGGGTATATGTACAGCAGGCAAGAATTACTGGTTCCAGGTCCAGAGCCCAGAAAGGACAGTTTGATTCTAGAAAAAGCTATACCTGAGTCTTGTGCCAGAGAGGTTTTTCTGTCCCTTGTTTTTTTTTTTTTTTTAAAGATTTTTATTTATTTATTTATTTATTTGAAAGACAGAGAGCACATGGGATGGGGGAGGGTCAGAGAGAGAATCAGACGCCCTGCTGAGCAGGGAGCCTGATGCGGGACTCGATCCCGGGACTCCAGGATCATGACCTGAGCCGAAGGCAGTTACTTAACCAACTGAGCCACCCAGGCGCCCCTCTGTCCCTTGTTTTACCAGATTGAAACCTTCAGCTGACTGTGGCCCCTTCCGAGGTCTGCCCTTCTTCATTTACTCCATCTATGGCTGGATCGACACCTTGAGTAAAAGGCCCAGCTACCTGTGGGTTGTTTGGATCTACCAGAACCTCATCGGAAGTGTGCATTTCTTTTTCATCCTCACCCTCATTGTGTTGTAAGTGGAGCACCTCGGGAACCTGGAGGGGGAAACATACCATTAACTCTGCTGGTGGATAGTTTGGGGAGATTTGCCAGGAAGGCAAAGGGCTACAGTGTTAGCTCAGTGTTCTGGATGCTCCTGACTTTGCCCTTGAATTTTTTAAAAAGTTACTTACTATCAACTTGTCCTAGGTTTTTTGTTTTTGTTTTCTGTGGGGTTTTTTTCTTTTTTTTTGCCTGTTTCATGAAGAAAGCAATACCTTCTGTGCCCCCTCTTAAGAAATAACATGAAAACAAAATGAAAATTTTGATTTGAGACTGCTTAGGAAAATTTTATGTGTGATTCTGAGATTGTGATTACGTTCAAATGGGTTGGGCATTGTTGGTACATAGGATAGCGTTCTTCCGTTTCCAAATAAAAATGATCAATATCTGACTTCTTTTTTTTTTTTAAAGATTTTATTTATTTATTTGACAGAGAGAGACACAGCGAGAGGGGGAACACAAGCAGGGGGAGTGGGAGAGAGAGAAGCAGGCTTCCTGCCAAGCAGGAAGGGATCATGACCTGAGCCCAAGGCCGATGCTTAATGACTGAGCCAGTTTCTGACTTCTTGTGAAAAAACAGATCTGCCAAGACCGGGTTCATCTTCCTGCATGAACAGTTGGTTGGCTAATAGATGTCCCTCTTTAGAAGCCTAGCCCTGATAGCATTGGAAATTGCAACTCCTCAGAGAGAGAGACACAACTCAAAAGCACAGACAGGAATGAGTCTTTTTTCCATCTCTCGTGATTCCACATGCAGCCAGGTTGAGAACCGTTGCTTTTTTTTTTTTTCATTATTATTTTTATTTACTTGAGAAAGAGCCCAAGTGGGGTGGGGGGTCAGAGGGAGAAGGGAAAGCCGACTCCCCACTGAGCAGGGAGCCCAATGTGGGACTCGATCCCAGAACCCTGAGATCATGATCCGAGCCGAAGGCAGACACTTAACGACTGAGCCACCCGGGTGCCCCTAGAACCATTGCTGTGATGTATTTAACCTGTAACTCATCCAGACACAACTTTTCGGGAACACTGTGGGGCCAAAATCCACTTGCAGGCAAATATCTCAGTTTCTTTGCACTCTTTTGGAATTTGGGGCCTGCAAAACATTGGCAAAAGTGTCTGTCATTCTTTCTTTTCTTCTCTTCTAGAATCATCACCTACCTTTACTGGCAGATCACAGAGGGAAGGAAGATTATGATCAGACTGCTCCATGAACAGATTATTAATGTAAGTTCCATTAGTCCCTCTGTTTTCCTCCTCCCACCATTTTTTAGAAACATTTTATAATGGGAACTTCCAGACATATTCCAAAATAGAATAGTATGATGAACCCACACCTGCCCACCACCCAGTGCCAACTACCATCAACATGTGTGTACTCTTTTTTTTTTTTAAGATTATTTGTTTATTTATTTGAGAGAGACAGAGTGAGCATGAGTGGGGGTGGGGCAGAGGGAGAGAAAGAAGCAGACTCCCCACTGAGCGGGGAGCGCAACTTGGGGCTCAATCCCAGGACCCTGAGATCATGACCTGAACTGAAGGCAGATGCTTAACTGACTGAGCCACCCAGGCGTGCCTGTATCCTCTTATTTTATCTACACTAACCATTCACTGCAAATCTCTGGATTATTTTAAAGCAAATCCTAGACTTATATCATTTTATCTGTAGAAACTTCTATGCACCTAAGAGATATAAACTTTTAAAAAACATAACCACAATACCATCATTGCACCTAAAAGAAATAATTCCTTACTATTAGCTCATATGCAATCAATGGTCAAATTTCCACGATTGTCCCATGAGGTGTCTTTTTATAGTAGGGTTGTTCAAATCAGGGTCTGAGAAAGTGCCGCAGGTTGCATTTGGTTGATACATTTCTTGTTTCTTTTCATCTATAATCGTTCACCCCTCCTCTCTTCTCTTGCCATTTATTGTTGAAGAAACCAGGTCATTTGTCTTGTAGTTTTTACTGGATATATCTGATTTGTGGCCTTGCCGTGGTGTTTACTATGGTTATTTTTTCTTTTTATTTCCTGTACCCTGGTGGTGAGATTTAAAAACCTGATTAAATCCAGATTCAGTGTTTTAGCCAGAATACTTCATAGATGGTGCTATGCACTTCTTATAGCATCACCTTGAGACAGAAAATGTCCAGTTGTCTATTTTTGTGTGATGTTAAAAGTAACCAGTGGGTCCATGCTTTGTTGGCCTGACCCACCCTTCATAAGGCTCCCCATCCGCCTTTCACCTGATGGATTTTGTAGTCTTTGATGAATATTGCCTAGAAGACCTACTGATTTCGTTAGAGATGACAAAATAGTGGTACTCTACTCCTAGAGATTCTTCTGCATTGATTGGCTAGAATTCTTCCATGAAAAAAGGAATTTTTGCTCACCAACTATTTGATTACCTTGTAATACAATTTATAGAGGAAAGGCAACATAGATGCATGATTTTTCCTCCTTTATTTACCGGTTTTTGAAATGATGGGTTGGTATCCTAGTGTCTTAGTTTTCTAGGGCCTGCCATATCAAATAACCACAAACTTGGTGGCTTAAAATAACAAATTTATTCTCTCACAGTTCTGGATGCCAGAAGTCCAAAATCAAGGTGTCAGCAGGGTTGGTACCTTCCGAAGCTCTGAGAGAGAATCTCCTCCATGCTTCCCCTAGCTTCTTTTGGGGGCCACTGGCTCACCTGACTGTTTCTCGGCTCAGGGCTTCCTACCTGCTGTTTCTGCCTCCATCTTCACAAGTTCTTCTTCCCTGTGTGCCTGTTTCTCCTTCTCTTCTAAGAACTTGTCATTGAATTTAGGGTTCATCCTCATCCAGAAGGATCTCATCCCAGAATCTTTAATTACATCTGCAAAGACCTCATTTCCAAACAAGGCCATATTCACAAGTACTGGGGTTAGGATAACTTGGACATATCTTTTTAAAAGGGAGATATTGAAAAAAATAAAAAAATAAAAAATAAATAAAAGAGGGATACTGTTAGACCCACTATACCTAGCAAGGTGACAAGTGAAATATGTTTGATGTCCCTAGATGCAGAGCTATAAGCTTTGACATGCTCAGTGAGAGGACACAGCAGCGATGCTGGGTGCCCAGCACCCACTCAGAGAGACAGAGGGCATGCCAAAAAGGGGGCTACTACACGCCATTTGTCCTGGGCCGTCAGACCCTCTTTAGAGGAGAATGTTACAATTCAGGAAGGTTATGGGAGCTAATTTGGCTTTGCTGTGAAACATTTCTTCTCTTTTATTAAGAGAAAACATGGCAGGGGCACCTGGGTGGCTCAGTCAGTTATGCCTCCAACTTTGGTTTCAGCTCAGGTCATGATCTCAGGGTCATGAGATCGAGCCCCACATCCGAGCTCTGTGCTCAGTGCTGAGTCTGCTTAAGACTCTCTCTCCCTCTGCCCTTCCCCCACTGCCCTCAAATAAATAAAAAAAAAATCTTAAAAAAAAACCCCAAAAAACACAGTGGCAGTCTCTATCCTGTGTCTGGGACCCTACCTGCCTAAAAAAAATCAACCTTCTTTCCATCATTTGCTTCTTGACCTCACAACCATCTTCCATGTTTTTGTTCTTTTTGTTTTCCTTCTTGGCAGGAGGGCAAAGATAAAATGTTCCTGATAGAAAAGTTGACCAAGCTGCAGGATATGGAGAAGAGAGCAAACACCAGCTCGTTCACAATGGAAAGGAGAGATGTAGAGGTGAGACATGAGGTCGCCTTGGGGTCCTTGTGACACAGACTTGCCTCCTTGTGAAATGTATGTCAGAAAACTAGAATAACATAAGGGCACTTCACTTCCTATGTTTAAACATTTCTGTATTTTTTTATTTAACGAATAAAATTTTCAACCCTTTCCATGCTGACCCTTGTTCTCTGTGCTGGGGTTATGGTGAAGGCCCTCATGGGGCTTGGATGCATCTTTTGTATAATCCAATCATCCAGAAGTACATCCCACAGAGAAGGAAAGTACCCTGAAATCTCACCCCACTGTGTTAATGGTTCAGTGTAGACTCTTCCAGATCTTTTCCCCTAGGCTTCTGCAAATATACATGCATCTACTAGCACTTTTGTTTATTAATTTATTAGAAAAGTGGGGCTGTACTGTACACATAATATCATAACCCCATCCCTCATCGCTTAATGCTATATTTCTGACATTGTTTCAGTCTGTACATATTTGGACATTTGGGCTGTTTCCAGGTTTTTTGTTTCTAATACTAAAAACTGTAATGAAACATTTTTGTTTTAATTATTTTATGTGAGTATTTTTGCCACAGGGCATGCACATGATAATGTTAATAGATATTACCATATCATACTCTTAAGAAGATTTTACCAATTTCATGCTTACCAAGAGGGTGTAAGAGGTGTCCGAAACCCTGCTCTAAGTCCAAAGCCCTTGCTGGCTTCCTTGGTGTCCTGGAAAACATAGATAAATAGTAAACCTACCTTAATTCAAATGCCGCTAGTTTTTGGAAATTAGGATCTTGTCAGAGGACAGTGCCATGCCATTTACTATCTGTGCAAATTAATACCATCAGCATGATGTAGGTATAGGATCTAGAGGCCTCACTCTAAATCCTATGCAGGCAGAGACCCTGTCTGTACCCTTCCAGCCCTGGGCCCTAATATATTACCTGGCGTATTGTAGATGCTCAGTAAATGTCTGTGAAATGAATGAATAAATTAATGGAATCACTTTCCCTAAAAGACTGAACAAAACACGTTTGGTTTGTCTGTGGCTGAGCCTTGGTTTTCATCTGTCACATCTTAATTTTAAAATGGTGGGGGCTCAAAAATCCCACCAACTATGCAACAGGACCTGAGTCGAATTCTTTTCCAGTGATGAGGACACCCGTTTTATTCCCTTTCAGCAACCAGGCCCTTTACCTGTCGGGGAACGTGATGCTGCTCGTGGTGAGTAACCAAATTGGCATTGAAGGAGACCCGGCATAACCAAGTGATATATCCCAAGATAGAGGGTCACAACTGCTCATGCATCAGTTACTCTTTCAATTAAAAGAACCAACTCAAACTAGCTTTAGCAAAAATCCAAGAATAATTCTTTCTTGAGGCATGGCCAGAAGCTGAGACTCACAATATGTCACCAGAACCTGTTTTGGTTTTTTTTTCTGTTCCATTCTTTTCCATGTTAGCTCCTTTCTCGAATAGGCTCTTCCTCACAATTGCAAGATGCTTTTATCAGCCTCTTGTACCTTCTCAGATTCAAGTCTAGTGGGAAAGAATGAGAGACCCAGAATTCTCAGTGTGTTCCATTGGATCTGACTGGGTGATGTACACATCCATGAACCAATTACTGTGGCCATGAAAATGTGATGATTTCAATGGCCAGATTGGAGATCTGTAGATAGAGGTGGTACAACCAAACAGACCACAGGGACTGAGAATGTTCGGGAAGGGTGGCTTCCCAAGGAAAATCAGGAGCTGAAGCCAGAGGGGAATGAATAGGGGGGAGGAATCAAACAAACCCATCCATCTTTTTGGGATAGCATTTACTGATGGCACCCAATGATGGGAGTTCAAGGGGAGAATTGCAGAACCGTAACGGAAGGCAGGAGGTGTGAGAAGCCATGGGATCTTAAATTTGGTCTTTCCCTTGGAGACATGAGGCAGTGTGCATCTGGGCTAACTTCTCTTTTCCATGTCCAACCTAGACCTGCGATTTAGGCGATCAGTTCAAGAAGAGAATTCAAAGGCGTGATGTTTATTGCTGCAGCCAGACACCGATCAAATGAAAAGACTCTCGGGCCTTTCTAAGCTTCCGAGGAGGGGAATTCAAGCCATTAGCCAGGACAGGAGGCTGACCCCAGTGTATATACTCAACCAAAGCCATTCCCTGCTGGTTTCTTATACCTGGATTGCTGATTTTCCAAGATAAAATATTTGGGATTTTAAAATAAAGACTATTGTAACATTTAAACTGGTTCCTAAAGACCCAGAAGAGATAACCTGGGAATTATGTATTCAGTCTTTAAGAGATGTGCATATGAATTATTGGTCCTTAGAAATCTCTCCTCCCAGACCTGGCAAAGATTTGGAAACCGGTGCTCAGACAAATGGTCCAGCCTGAATAAAAATGGGATCCTCAGTCAGGGATGTGAGGGCTCTGAATTGGGGAACCTGCATTTGTTTGTGACTTTGAACTACATCTGTCCCACCCCATGTTACCCAAAGGTGAACTACAACGAGAGGTCTTATCTACAAACTTTATTGCATATCAAGTATGAGTCTTTGGGGTTGACCTGGGGTTGGTAGGTGTGGACTGGGACTCTACCCTTGTGAGGTTGATACATGAGTCAGCATCAAAGTCTTATGTTGAATCGAACATGAAATCAGAGGTGATGTGTGAAACATGTATGTATGTATATGTGTGTGTAGAATGAATATATATGTATGTGTGTTTGTGTGTGTGTATACACACACATATGTATCTAGAGCATTCTTTTTTAAAAAGTTTTTATTTAACTAATCTCTACACCCAATGTGGGGCTTAAACTCAGGACCCTGAAGTCAAGAGTGGTATGCTCTTCTGACAGCCAGCCAGGTGCTCCAACATAGAGTTTCTTTTGCAGATTTGCCAAATGATTCACAAGGCATGTGACTGTACTTAGAACTGAAGCATCCAGCAGAAAGGTGGAATTGACCATATTACTCAGGGGAGAAGTCCCCTCTTGTGTAATCACTACCATGAAATGTAATTGGAACTGAATTTTGAAAACATTTAACATGTGTTTGAAACACAAGCATCCAATCAATGCTCAGTCATTGACTCACGTTTTCGTTCACTTATTTATTCGTTAGCTCATTTCATCAACTAAATTTCATCAGCTGAGTTAATTTTTTTGGTGTTATCCCCTGGTAGTGGTTGCTAGTGGTGTTCATTCATTTCATTCAAAAAATACGTGCCAAGTAGTCGTGAACAAGATGGTGGGCAAGTCAAGACACAGTCTGTGCTCTCCTGTGCTCATTGTCTAGCAGATTGATTTAGACAGGAAATTAATAATTAAATAGTAATTAATTGTAATTGTGATAGATGCTGTGAAGGAGAAGCCCAGGGGACTACGGGGAGACTTAACTTGTTGGTGGGGTCAGTGAAGGCAGCCCACTGAATTGATGTTTGAAGTGGTTTTTTACCCCCTGTGTCATCTTAACTGTTTTGTGCTTCATTGGCTTCTCCACTAAAATATGAACTCCTTCTGTAAGTAGCATTTTTGCTTATTTACTCTATGCTAAGGGCTTATATCTGGAATGCTCCATTTGCCTCCATGGCTTGGGTCAATTCCTGCTTCTCCTGGAGCTACAAACAAAGGAGAAAGATCTAATCTGTAGGTATCACACACATTTGGATGTGAAGATGCTTTTAAAACTTGGGCTTGAGGGGCGCCTGGGTGGCTCAGTCAGGTAAGTGTCTGCCTTTGGCTCAGGTCATGATCCCGGGGTCCTGGGATCGAGTCCTGCATTGGGCTCCCTGCTCAGTGGGGAGTCTGCTTCTCCCCCTCTCCCTCTGCCCCCCCCCCGGCTCGTGCTCTCTCTCTCTCAAATAAATAAAATCTTTTTTTATTTTTATTTTATTTTTTTAAGATTTTATTTATTTATTCATGAGAGACAGAGAGAAAGAGAGAGAGAGGCAGAGGGAGAAGCAGGCTCCCAAGGAGCAGGGAGCCCGATGTGGGACTCGATCCCAGGACTCTGGGATCATGACCTGAGCTGAAGGCAGACGCTTAACCATCTGAGCCACCCAGGCACCCTAAATAAAATCTTTTTAAAAAATTTAAAAAACAACAAAAAACCATTGAGCTTGAGATAGGGAATGTGTTGGCTTGCTAGGGCTGCCATAACCAGATACCACAGATGGGCTGGTTTAAACAACATAATCTTATTTTTCCACATTCCTGGAGGTGGGGAAGTCCAAGGTCATGGTCCGTTTCAGTGTCCACAGTTTTGGTTTCCTTCTGCTACCTCCTGGGCTTGCAGATGGCCACCTTCTTGCAGTGTCCTCTGCATGTACCTTTTTCATTTTTTGCCTTTTTTTTTTTTGCATGTACCTTTATGTGTCCGAATTTCCTCTACTCATAAGGACTCTGCGCAGATTGGATTAGGTCCCACCCTAATGGCTTTAATATAGCTTATTCACCTAACTAAAGGCCATGTATTCAAATATGGTTACATTTTGAGGCATTTGGGGGTTCAGATTTTCAGCATATGAATTTTGGGTCAATACAATTCAGCTTTATAATAGGGGTTAACTCTCCCAAGTCCTCTCAGGGACTTAGGCCTCAGGGTCCTCGGTGCTGGCTGCACTCAGAATCACTGGGGCAGCTGACCACCAGGCCCAAGCCCCAGTCTAGACCAACTAAATCAGGCACCTGTACTTGTTCTTTAAGGCTCCCCGGATGGTTTCCGTGGAAAGCCAGGGCTGAGAACTAGTGAGCCAGGATCTAAAATACCTTATCCACGGTTTCGCTTTTTGAAGTTTCGGTGACCCATGGTCAACTGCAGCCAGGAGGCAGATGATTCTCCTTCTGACCAATCATCAGGAGGTCACTTTAGTGGCCTAACGCTCTGTCACAGCACCTACGTCCCTCACCTCGCTTCATCTCATCACACAGGCATTTTATCACCTCGCATCATGAGAAGGGTGAGTACAGGACAATATTTTGAGAGAGATTACATGTACGGAACTTGTATTACAGCATATTGTTATTGTTCTTATTGTCTTACTGGGCCTGATTTCTAAATTAAGCTTTATTATAGGTGTGTGTGCTAGGAAAACACATAGTATATATCAGGTTCGGTACTATCCAGGGCTTCAGGCATCCGCCCAGGGATAAGGGGGCACTGCTCTACTTCTTCCCAAACTTGCCTGACCATAAAAGCCACCTGAACATGGAAATAGGGAGCTGAGAATATTGCATTAGGGAGGGGCACCTGGGTGGAGCAGTTGGCTGGGTGTCCAACTCTTGGTTTCAGCTCGGGTCGTGATCTCAGGGTCATGAGATTGAGCCCTGTGTTGGGCTCTGCGCTCAGCACGGAGTCTGCTTAAGACTCTCTCTGCCCGCCCCCCGCCCACCTCCACTCCCTGTGCTCACGTGCTCGGGCTCTCTCTCTCAAATAAATAAATCTTAAAAAAAAGCAACCCAATATTGCATTAGGGAACAGTCCCCATCCTCCTCTTCCAACCCTTATTTAATTAGTACAAAGTGATAAAAGGAACCTATGCTTTCCAACAGTCACCTGAAAGCTGGATAACCCCTATAATTTTAAGTATAAAAAAAGGGAGCCTCTTAAATTTCTGCAGGATCTGATCCTTTATGTGGCCGCCATGAATGGCCCAGTTCATTTCTAGGCAATGAGATGATTTTGTTTGAAGTTCAATTACAAAAGGAGTGACTAAAATAGTATATGATTGACATGTTTTTATAATCTTTGAATTGAGGGCAGGTGGTAAGAAGTCAGCTCATTAATAGCGATTGTCTCCCTACTGTAGCACTTCACAGACATCTCCCTAAATTCTCAAAAGTTGGAACTCTTCCAGGACATTTACATATCTGATCAACCGTGAGATGGCCAGCTGAGAGAAGCTCAGGTGTGGAGCAGGGGGGCCCCTCTGGCTTGGCTCATGACTGCACACTTGCCTGGTACAAGTAACGCCTTCCACCTGCGCAGTCCTTTGCCCACCTCCATCACCTGGGCTCTTGTTAAAAAGCAGATTCTAATTTGTGAGGTCAGGGATGGGGCCCGAGAGTCTGTATTTCTATCTAGTGCTGTGGGTCTGAGCACCACGCCCTGAGTAGTTTGGTGTTAGAGCTCCTCCACATTTTTAATTTTTATCTTCACAACAATATTACACTGTTAACACCTTTTTTTCAAATCACTTCCATTTCCCCGCCTCATTTGAACATCATTGCTCTAAGACAATTAGTGCAAATATGATCCCCATTTGACAGATGAAAAGCTAGGCACACACAGGTTAAGTGATTTGTCTAAGGTCTCATAGCTAGTGGTAGAATTGAGGAGTTTGGATTTTTCTCTGGCTTCGTGGTTCTCAGACTGGAGCAAGTATCAGAACCACCTGGAAGGCTTGTAGAAACAGATCCTGAGCGATGTGCGGAGTTCCAGGTTCAGTAGTTATGGGATGGGCTCTGAGAATCTGCATTTCTAACAAGTTACCCCTTAAGCAGATATTGAATAAAGGTCTCAAAGGACAGTGTCTTTTGAGAACCATTGTGCCTAGCTGATCTCCAACGTGTTTGTAATACTTGGTAATACAGGTAAAACTCTGCTAATCAGATTGTTAGATTTTGAGCATAATTTAGCTTGATAATAGAACATACAAGGTCATCGATTCTCAGTAGCTGTGATCAAAGAAACCAAACAACCTTGCACTATAGTAACCACCACTCCGAGCTAAAGGTTTGCATGGATGTTTGGAAAACTTCATTCCCACCCTTATTTGTCCTCAAAGCTGTGGTTTATTGTCCCGTTGAAACACTATTCCCACTTTAGGAAATGGTAGGTATAATTTTATTTAGAAGTTTGCATCTAACAAAAATGGAGTATTTCTGTCTTGGTGAAATTCTTGTCAAAACAGGATTACAGACACTGATCTCCAAATGAGAAAATGAGTATTGTTAACTCAGTAGTGGATTTCTTCAGCCTTTTGAGATAGTCTTTTCCCAGTACCTGTCTGTGGAATCCTGA